ACAACTAGCTGGAAGGGTAGCCTTGCAGGCATACACTGTTTCCTCACTCATCTCCCAAGCTTTTCTTGCAAAGAGTTAGATGTGTCTGCACCCATACCTTGCTTAGATAGTAAGAGAGGCAAACATGGGATAGTTGATCAAGGTTGTCCAATATCCTAATCTGGACAAAATAAACTATGGAAACTGATGATGAGGATGTTGATACAAAGCAATCATCAAAAGCAATTATTGCTTTTCAATCTGCTATGAATTCAGGATAGTGCATGAAGAAATATCTTCAGAAAGATCTAGTGTCTCCAAAGCCATTCCTGACTTTACGTGGTCAATTTTAAACATATTTTTTTCTCTAGAATGCTAAAAATCTAGCTCATTTGTAGGATAACCTTCTCAGCTGAACCAATCTGCTCAGTCTGCATCCTGAATATGTTCCTATCACACCTACATTCTGATTGTAACTGTAACCTAATTAGTTGTCTCGAGTGCTACTTTCCAGTATATACAGAGTCTAGGAATAACAACAACGAGGCTCTGGACAGGTAGACAAACATCTAAAACAGTGATTCTCAGACCCAGCCAATTACCATAGCACAGGAGTGTCAAACTCAAGGGGGCGGATCCAGCCCACAGGGTGCTTAGATCTGGCCCCTGGGGCCACCCTCGAAAAAGCAAAGGGCTGGCCTGCGGTGCCTCTGCCAGTGAAAACGGAGCCCAGGAGTGCCGCTGGCAGAGAGTTGCAGGAAGCCGTCACAGCCAGAAATGGAGATCAGGAGCACCACATACCACCCACCCCCCCTGGACATGAGAGACGTTGAGCTGTCCACTCCTACCCTGGCCCCCCAAGGTTAAACACAACCCTGATGTGACCCTCAATGAAATCAAGTTTGGCACTCCTGCCATAGCACACTCAGGGATGGTAGATTCTGTTGGAATTCTGGATTCCTTGACATAACTTGTGATCTCAGGGAAGCTATATTATTGTTGAGGAAGGAGTTCATTTTCAGGCTCATAGACTGAAAGTCTGGCATCTAAATCCATTAAAAAAAAAATCTTAATCAGCTTTCTGGGTACCAGTGCCAGCCTTATGGAACAGCATCCCTCCCACGATCCAGATGTCTCCAAACCAGTTAGCCTTTTGTAAGGCCTTAAAAGAATTTGCTATTCCCCCATCTTTTTGATCCAAATGGTCAGGCAATCTCTGCTGGTTAATGTTGCCTTTTAAGAGTCAGATTTGTGTTTGTGACTTTAAGTGCTAAGGTTGGTCCCTTAAATTATTGCTCTTAAATGTCAGTTTTCTAAGATCAGTGGCTGCATAAATTATACACATACAAACAGTGGTGGAATTCAAAAAAAATTACTACCAGGGGTGTGGCATGGCGTGGTGAGCATGGCGGGCCTGGCAGGAGGAGGATACTATAAAATTTCCATTCCCTCCCCACTCCAGGGGAAGGATACTGCAAAATCCCATTCCCTCCCCACCCTGCTTTCCAGCTTCGTTCTCCTGTGCAGGGCAACAAAAAAAAGATCCAGCCGATCAGGGAGGCAGAGAATATATGAGGGTGGGGCCAGTCAGAGGTGGTATTTGCCAGTTCTCGGAACTACTCAAAATTTCAGCTACCAGTTCTCCAGAACTGGTCAGAACATGCTGAATACCATCTCTGCATACTTTTTATTTTTATTTTATTTTTATTTATTTGTTTTTGTCAATTGCTTACAAGATAATAGGTATAATTAAAACATAGTTATGAATACATGGATACATATAAGAAAAATAAAATAAAAAATAAAAGAGACAATAGAACAGGGACGGTAGGCACGTTGATGCGCTTATGCATGCCCCCTACAGACTTCTTAGGAAAGGGGTGAGGTCAATAGTGGACAGTCTAAGGTTAAAGTTTTTGGGGTTTGGGGAAGAAACCACAGAGTCAGGTAGAGTATTCCAGACATTGACCATGCTGTTGCTGAAGTCGTATTTCCTGCAATCAAGTTTGGTGCGATTAACCTTGAGTTTGTATCTATTGTTTGCTCTTGTGTTGTTATGGTTGAAGCTGAAGTATTCATTGACAGTAAGACATTGCAATGTATGATTTTATATACTATACTTAGATCGGACCAAAGGTGGTGTAGTTCTAGATTTTATGTCTGGTGACATAAGGTATTCTGCAAGGAGTAGAGGAGTGGAGAACTTTTCTTGTGAAATATTTCTGGACTTTCTCAATTGTGTTAATATCAGATACGTAATGTGGGTTCCAGACTGATGAGCTGTATTCGAGTATTGGTCTAGCAAATGTTTTGTATGTTCTAGTTATTAGTGTAATATTACCAGAGAAAAAGCTACATAAGATTAGGTTAACAACTCTTAACGCCTTTTTGGCTATGTAGTTACAGTGGGCTGTAGCACTTAGATCATTAGAGATGAGTACTCCAAATCCTTGACAGAGTTTGGATCATCAACAAGGCCTGTATTTTATTTTCTGATTTTTTTTGCCAATATGTAGGACAGAATATTTATTTGTTGAGATTTGAAGTTGCCATTTGTTTGACCATTCTGAAACATAGCCAAGGTCTTTTTGAAGAGTAGCAGTATTGTCTGTGGTGTTGAATAGCTTTACATCATCAGCAAAGAGAATGCAGTAGCTCTTAATATGATCACAGAGGTCATTTATGTAGAGTATGAAGAGAGTTGGTCCTAGAACACTGCCTTGGGGGACACCACTGTTGACAGGTACAGAATTTGATAGGACGCTCCCAAGTTTGACTGTTGTCTGTTTGACAGGAATGCTTCTATCCAGTTATGCAGGTGTCCAGAGATACCATAAGATTTTAGTTTTAGGAGTAGTTTGTCATGTACCACTGAGTCAAAGGCTTTACAGAAGTCTATGTAGATTGCGTCTATTGCTTTGCCCAGATCGAGTTGTGTAGTCCATATGTTTCTGCAGTGTAAGAGTTGCAGATTACATGATAGTTTTTTTCCTGAAACCAAATTGTTTATCAGAGAGTAGGTTGTTTGTTTCTAAGTGGAGGATGATGGATTGGTTAATAATTGATTCCATGACTTTACAGGTGAAGCAGCATAAAGCGATTGGTCTGTAATTTTCAACTAGGCTGGGGTCTCCCTTTTTGAAGATGGGGATGATCATGGCTTGTGACCATAGTTTTGGCAAGGAGCTGGTCCTGAAAGTTTTTTCAAAGATTATGCTTAGAGATTCGGCTATGGCAGTTGATAGCTTTTTTAAGAAGTAGGCAGATATTCCATCTGGTCCAATAGATAGAGATGGTTTTAGATTGCGTAGTGCTTTTCAATATTGTCTACTGTAAAATCGATATGTGTTAGATTATTGTAGTTGTCTGTAGTTCGACTAGGAAATACTGAGCATGATCCATTGCTGTTTACAAATACTGAGCCAAAGAATGTGTTAAAGAGGTTGGCTTTAATAGTGTCATTGTTGCAGTCTTTACCATTAGGTCCTCTCAGGAGTGGGATGGACCTTGAGTCTTTTAGTTTGTTGTTTACAAAATTGTAGAACGTGTGGGTGGAATTGCTGCATAGAAGGTTTTCTTCTTGTTTAATGTGATAATTTGTGCCTTCAGTCTTTATCTGGTGGCATAAATTTTTGTATCGGTTTTTGAAGTTGGCAACATGACCAGATTTTTTTTCCGCCAAAGTGATTTCTTTTTGGATTTAAGCTTTCTTATTGTTATGGGTAATTTGTTTTTTCTGGTTTTGGGAGTTGTTATTGGTACATGTAGTTTGATGACTCTTTTGACTTCAAGTAAAAATATGTTGTAATTGTCTTCTACAATATTGCATCCAGTGAATAGAAATTGCCAATCAAGGGATGAGAGATAGCTGTTTATAAGATCATAGTTGCCTTTTTTGAAGTTATAATTGGGGTTCCGTCATTGTGATGATTTTTGTGTGGACATATGTTGAGACAAAAGTCAATCACGTTGTGGTCACTGTTGGAAAAGGGTTCTTTAATTTGTATTCTGTAAATTGATTTCAAACTATTACAGAAGATGAGATCGAGGCAGTTGTTAAGTCTAGTGTTGTTGGTTACTAGTTGTTCTAGTCCCAGATTTGTTACTGCATTGTGGAAGGTTGCATGTGTGGGTTCAGTTGTACATTCATTAAGGGTCCAGTTAATGTGAGGTAGATTGAAGTCATCAAGAAAGATAAAAGTGTGTGGGCAGGATGCTGCCCATGTTAGTAGTGTGTTTAGCTTGTTTGCATGTTCGGTGTCATAATCAGAGGCTCTGTAACATAGTAAGAACCAAAATGTGATATTTAAGGACAATTCACAGATGATGGTCTCAGGAATAGCAAGCTCCTGGGTAACTTGGATGTTTTTTAGATGTAGGGACTTTTTATAGAAGATAGCAACACCACCTCCTCTACGTTTAGTTTAGATTGTCTAAGCAACTGACATTTATCATTCTGGATTTTCAGTGTAGAGGTATTCTGGAGGGAATATCCCCCTAGGATGTTTCCTAAATTCAGATGATGAATGTAGAAGCAGGGAAAACTGAACACATCCAATATACATTAATTCTTAATTTCCTTTTTTGAACATTCATGCTTAGGCTTCATAATATCATCAAAATGTCATGATCTGATGCTCATTAAAAGAAAACACCATAATAGCTATTAAAGCTCAGTAAATGAAAAGGTAAACTTGCTTGAAAATTGTTTAAATGTTTAAAAAAAGTGGTTTGCCGTTGCCTTTTTCAAGGTTTGTTTGTCTTCATACTCTAGCCTAGACACCTGTGATTTCTCCATCCAAGTACTAACAAAATCCTACAATACTTACCTTCCCAAGATCTTCTAAGTTTGAATAGATGTTATCTACCTCAGACAACAGCAGATAAAATTGTAATGATTTAAATATGTTGCTTGGGAAACATTAAAAAAACAGCTTGGGAAAAAAAGGAAAACAACTTAAGATGTCTATGCACATTATAACATTCTTGAGATATCATGTTTCTTAATATTTTTCTTGCAGACATTCGAGATAGTGGGGGACCTAAACCAGTTATGGTGTATATTCACGGAGGGTCTTACATGGAAGGCACTGGAAATTTATACGATGGCAGTGTGCTCGCAAGTTATGGCAACGTGATAGTTATCACTGTCAACTACCGACTTGGGGTACTTGGTAAGCAAGATTTTACTTTAATACTTGCCTTGTGTGGTTCTCTTTCTCTTGATTAGAAGGTTGTAGATATAGATGTAGACGTGGATTTAGATGTAGACGTCAAGAGAACATGGTTCTTCTTTTTAAATGTTGCTCTATATTCAAGGATATATTTTGATTTGGTTGATTTGAATTTATCATTGTGTAAAGTCACCTGCAGTTGCATTTTGTTCTGATGGCTGAGATTAAAAAAAACAAAACATATTTTGGAATTATATGTGGTTGCTGCCTAAGAGTAATTAGTTGTACATATTGTCAAGTAATGTAAAGTGAATGGCAAATGCAAGATGAGGTGTGATTGTTTCCGTTTGCCAGGAGACAAAAATATGAATTCTGTTCTGACAGGTTCATTATGTATTTCTGGGTAATAAGAATGTTTGAGAAATGTTAATCACTGCCAATGTCAGCTTTTATATTTAGCATGGCACCTTAAAGCAGAAATGAAATTACTACAGCTTAAGAGCATTTCAGATAGAAGAAGCTATTTCAAAGGGACACTATTTTGTAGCTTTAGTTATGGAAAAGTACATTGAGGCTGTGTTGTTTACATGAATACAATCAAATTGGAAAGTCTGTTTCTTAGTCACAATGTAGGTTTAAGAATCAGCTTTCCTCAAATTAGCCATAGCTGGAAAAATTAAAATTTCTTTCAAATCAGTTGCAGTTTCTGGTGACATCATGGATACATTGATGTAGTTTTCTTGAAGAGAGGTCTGCTGGAATTGACTCTTGCACAATGTGGTAACTGCATGTATTTGAATTTCTTTTTTTTTATTATTATTATTATCCAGTCTAGGGCATTAGATTGCAGAAGGCTTAGATTAGTAGCTGTAAATGCTTCTAAATAATGAATTTGATCTTTTGTTTTCTGAGTTCCTTTGAAGCACACTGTAAGATGAATTTAATACTACTGGCAGTTATCAACAGTTTTAGAAGTGTATGTAATGTAGAGTGAGAAAGTAATGTGTGATTTATAAACTCTGGTTTTCCTTAAACTGAAGGGAGATTGCTTGGTCATGTGGTTTAACTTTAGATTGTTTCTTTACCACTCAACTTGGGCTTGTGGTTTCCTGCTGTTGGCTCTTCTGTGGAAATCATCTCTTGGCTTTTATTTGATGGTTACAAAAGGATGCACTGGCTTAAAGATTTTTAAAAATGAGATTTCACTTCCCTTGGTGTTGGCTTTGAATGAAATAAATCTTCAGTTCATGAAATGTGAGAAAGCTACATATTTTTTCACCTGGGAATCCTTCCCTTTTTGCTGGAAAATGAACAATGCAATTTAATAATTGTGTGTAACACAAAGTTCAGTATCCAGACCTTTGCTTTGATTTGTATCACATATATTTGCATGACTACTTAATGTATTCTTCACTTCCTCAATGCAATTAAATATTGACTCAAAATCTCTAGAGCTATGTTATGCATTAATTTAAAACTCTGTGTGTGGTCAGCTTGCAAAATCATCTTTCTGTTTAGCATACATTTTTTTGTTTCTGTTTTGTGTGCTTCTGGGTACAGGATGTAGGATAGCTCTATTTACATTTTAAATCTATAAACTAAAGTATAAATGATAGGAGGGTGGGTAGATATATTATCTAGATTAGAACAATATAATTATAAATTTGGAGGCACTTTCTACTTAACAGAACAAAAGTAATGATATGCAATAGGTGGTAAAATACAATCTGGTCACACACTTGTTAATCTAACTGATCACCCTTAGTTTCCTCTTGCTTAGTGGAACAGCCATGTGGTAATAACACTACAAAGCTTTGAAAAGAGGCAGAGAAGATTATGTTAGTCAAATTTCTCCTGAGCTCAATACAAGCTGAATATAGAGCTCTATCGAAATATAAACCCAAGTAATCATGGATTCACTGACTGCATTTCATTCTTGCTTTCATTTCTCCATATTTTTTTTCTCTAATATATATTTGTGAGGAAATGAGGTATTAGGGAAGGATTGGTGGAAGAAGACTGATAGTTCACTCCTTCTGAATGGTAATCCCTCAGGTATCCTGGTCCCAAACCATATGTTGTGCCTTCCAAGGCAATAGATATACAGGGATATCTCTTGCTTTGGAAGGCACAACATATGGTTTGGGACCAGAATACCCAAAGGACCATCTTTTTGCAAGAGGATCCAACCAGCAAATGAACATGCTACAGATCCCTAGTCAAATAATGTCAGCTGGCGGATACCATAAGATAAGCTTTTTCCTCAGTGGCCCCTGCTCTATGAAATACCAGCCCTTCAGAGATTGCACTGGCCCCAACCCTGTTAGGCCCTAAAAATCCTGAGCTCGGGGTGCTAAATGTGGCAAGGACCTCATTACTGGCCAAGTATCTAGCTCCTAAGTATATTTAATTTGGATGGTTTTAGTATTTTTTGTTTGTTTTACTGTTTCTATTGTTTTAAATATTTTAAATATTTTAATGGTAACATACATATTGAATCACTTTGCCATGAAATGCATGATTAGTACATTGTGAGGGAAATAGGACAAAGGATGACTAGGTATGTTTTCTGCCTTGAGTTATTTATAAAAAATAATAAAGGTAGCATAAAAATAATGTAAAATATAAAATATATGTTTAAATGGGGACCAGCTATTTTAATTACTAATTGGAGAATTTGATCAACACACTCAGAGTGATGAAACTGAGATGGGTGACCATATTAAATGAATGAATAAATAAATTTAGCATAGCCCCATTAATGAAATAGGAAAAAAGTTAATTCCCAGGCACTGGATAATCCACATATTCACAGATAGACTTCCCTCTTACTATTTATTTTCCCAATTTTGTATATGTAATATACTTGGTAAAACTTAGAGATTAGCAAGTTTTCTGAACTTCTTTGGGAAGTCTTAATTTAAACTGCTATAAATATTCTATAAGAAAGTCCTGAAAAGTCTAGTTAAAGAAAAGGAACCAATTCCCCTTTAAATTGTTGAAAAATGGCTATTTAGTTTGAAATCTGAAGCTTCCATTTTTAATTATTTGTTGTCATTGTCTATATAAGTATCTTGATCAAATTCTCTGATTAATAATTAAAATAGCTGGTCCCCATTTAAACAAATATATTATTTTTATCTCACCTTTTTATAGATTTTATAAATAACTCATCATATCTAATCTTCCTTCATCTTCCTATTTCCCTCATAATATACTATTAATCATAAATTTCATGGCAAAAGTGATTCTTAGTTAGAGGACTATGTATCCTTGCTCTGTTTAGAATCCAAGGTGTTGAACCTAGGAATTTTCAACACAGAGTGCAATGACATTGCCTTTCTTATCTAGTCTTTTTTTTCTGAAATAAATTGGGAGGCTTCTGTCAAGATCTTTTAATATTTCCTTGAATTGGCACTTCATTAAAATATGGGAATATGTTTTTTGAATCATTCATTGCAATGACATATAATTTGTGAAAGAATGTAGACCAAGCTTGGCAGGAATGGTTGAATTGTTACAGGAAGAGTTTCAGAAATGATTATCCAGTCCTGAGAAAGTATGAGAAAGAAATGCAAAATAATCCTGCCTGAATTTTGTTTGGAATAAGATAATGTGGATAAACTATGGTAGGCTTTTGAGATTGTTATGTTATGTTTTCACAATAACAGCATTCCTTATTTTCCTGCTATCACTATTTCTTGACTTCGTCTACCCCAAAGGTTTAATACAAATTGCCTTTCTGGGCAAGAATTTCCCAAAACAGCTTACAAGTACTGTAGAAATTGCAAATAATTCTACAATGAATATTGTAGAAAACCAACTGAGCAGTTGGGTGTGATTATTCTGTGAAATAGGCTTCTGTGTGATTCTGTTTCAAAATTGTATTTGTCTAATTCATTGGGACACATTTCCACACACTGAAGTTATTAATGAAAAAAAAATAACTATCTAGCAAATTGGAAATATTGTGTCCCTGGGTTTGAGGAAGAGACTGATTTTCTTATTCCAACTTTTTGCACAAACTATTATTGATTTCCTGTTCTATGCCTCAGAATTAATCCTCCTGATATTTTTTTATCATGACAAATTTTGAACTCGTGATAAGTTCTAAAGTTTGATGATTCAAGAAGTGACACTGTTGTTTTTCCTTATGATCTTGGAAGATATTTTTAAGGACTTCAAGGTTTTGAATTATGTTTGCTGTCCTGAACTGAAGCAATATAATTTTGAATGATTGCTGAAACTACTGGTATACCAAGGCATTAAGAAATAATAAAGATGTGCTTTTTAAAATAAATAATATTGAAATATTTTAAATACTGCCAATTTGAGCTGCTACATCACTTTCAATGCTTCTATTTTCTTCTAACAAAAGCTTGAGAAGGCAGGTGACAGTGCCCATATGAGATAGTTTAGAGCTAGCATGAATTCAACTGTGATACATCTGTTCGTCATGAGGATACAATCTCTTACAAGCTCCCCAAATCAACTGTTTGTGATTTTTCTAACCACTGCATTATTTTCGGGAATTAGACAATATATAAATGAGGCCTAACTCTACAGCTTCTTAACATATGGAACAGGTGACATGTGGGTGCATACGGAACAGGTGACGTGGGTGCATGAGGGTAATGCTTGATTCAGAGAATATGCTCTGGATAAAGAAATCAGCCATATATTTTGGATGTGTGCTGCATGCTATTGAAGACCAAGTGCACAATCTGAACTCCATCCTAAGCTCTATTTATACATTTCCCTGTAGTAGAATCATAGTACTGTACTTCCTTTCACTTACTGCAAAGAAGGACAAAATGTATCTGATGGTGCTTCTTGTGAGAAGAGATAGCAACATCCTCATGTCTAGCCATGGCCCAAAGAATGTGCATACTCAACAGTTCTTTTGAGAGCTTCCTAACCTTTAGAAGCTTTTTCTTCCCTTCCCTTCGATTTCCTACCCTTTCCAACAGTTGGGAATAATGTTGATGTAACCTACCACC